GCTATAGCTTAACATCGATACTTCAGACGTTATGGTCAGGTCTTTTATCCTCTGCAAAAGCGAAAAGATGTCTCAGGACTGAAGTGCTGAAACATAGCGTCTCCTAATAGCAAGCATAGAAAAAGGTAAGATCTCATTTGACATAAGATACCTCGGACAGATCGGTCCAAGCATAAAAAGTATCCGGAGAAATGTAAAATAAACCGACGTATTTGCGAAAGTTGACTCACTCAACGTGGTTGTCATTAAAATAATTCGAAGAGTTCCTAGGAACCGAACAGAATGGAATTCGAAAGTTATGACACACCATCCAAAAGGTACTAAAATTGTAAGTTCAGAGGTTCTGTTATAAGATATCTAGCGCTTGCCTCCATAATCAAAAATACTGTTTTTCGTCGCCAGAAATTTGCGCGTTCTTCTGATGTTGAAATAATTCGTATGCTTTCGATTTTCATTTAATGACTGCCTAAAAGCGACCCTCACTAGTTAGCGGCTGAAATCTTCATCCAAAGTTGTATTCATAAGGACATTCCTGTGCTAGCAATGATCCCTTAGGGCTATTTTAGGAGGTTAAATGGATTCTCTGGGGAGAAACGTAGGTTTTTGCACTTCCAAAATTTTTTTATATGGCCGAAATACTGATTTATGTTAATTTTGATGAACGAAAAACAATATTCAGCATGCCCCGTTTTGTGCTTGTTTTACTAGCGTCACCCCGCGCATTGTTTGGAAGCCGGAGTCCTACGAACCCGAGCGCAAAAACAAGAAACGCTACCGGAAAAAAATTTAATTCATCAAGAATTTTTCCGCCTTGAAGGAACTCTAATATTTATGCACTGCCGCCGTCTTCGCAAGCAGATTTTTCCACACGGAGCCCTGTGAAGTGAGGCAAAATGGATGGTGGTGAAAGAAGTTGTTTTTAAAGGCTGAGTTCACGGTTGTAAAGTGCTTTTAATTGAACCACAAATTTAAGCATCGGATGTGAGTAAATTAAGACGGACTCCCATTCAGCCTATAATTTCAATAAACCAATTTAGTTGCGAGTCTGGGAAACCTTCTGCGCACTCACATATGTTGTTTTTTAACAATTTCCCATTTTCAGACGGAAGTAATACAGGCATTATTTGACCTAAAGGTATCGCTTCTGTCTCTCGGCTGTACAATTATCCTGACTGCAATTGGTACTCTTTCTTAGATGTCGCTTGAATAGGACTCCGACTGCCATATGTATTCCAGAAATTAGTGTTAAGACAGAGTAAAATTCCCGTTCTTCTATGTTAGGTTTGTTATGCAGCTGACACAAAATGAGAAAATTTAAAGTTCTTAATTATATCGATCAGGTTTCTTCAGATAGCTAAAGTTGCTTTCATCATTTAAGGTTGAGGTGACGCCAAAAGAAGTCGAGGCGTACCTGGAACTTTCAACTTAATGATGCGTCGTTCCTATGTCAGTAATGGCCAAACATCCACTTTTTGTTATGGTGTCTTATTATGTCGTTTTTTCGACATTCAAATAACACTACGGTACTGCTTTCATGGAAAGCTGACTGACAATGCACTGTCGTCCTTCATATACCGAAAAGGTTAACTACGGTTGCCGTTATATATCATATTTTCAGAAAGACGCGTGAAGCTGCAGTCTTCGTGGAGATCTTGACCAATACAACATACTTTTTTCCTAAAAGAAAAATTTGCCCATGATGTGAGTCACTCTAAAAAAGTCAGAGACCGTTAATGTCACTCGAATGTGTTTTTTAACTGCTAACCGTTATCGGGTAGCTCCAGCTTTGTCTGTGGATAAGGGCGAACAGATAAGATATGCACCTGCTTTGTAGATACGCCTCGGTTCTCACCAGTTTCCCCATCCTTCCTGTCTAACTCAGACATGCATAGAGAGAGCTCGGTGTAGGAGCTGTTTTATTCGAAGCCGTATGCTCACCTAGTCTTTAATTATGTCTCTGAAAAAACTGTCGATATGCGACTGCTGCAGCGAGAAAGCGGACGGCATACCAAATGCAACAGAAAGCAAAGATTGTTTTGCGTAAATTGTGCACCGTTTGCGCTATTTGTGCAGACACCCCTGTTTATTCCCACAGGCATCATTCGCATGTGATAGTCATTCAGCTATGCCGGTCAGGAAAGTGAACGCTTCTCCATTTTGCCTCTCATTGGGCTTTAAGGGAGGAGGAATATAATTCCCTCAAGCAAGGCAAAGGAAGTTGTCTACTATTGCACCCACGCTCCCCTTTTCAAGTCTCTTCACACGTTTTAATGCTCGTAAACACCCTTTCGTGGTGTCTTGATAGAGCATATGATTGTATACACGCTTCCCCACATGTGCGCTAACCGCTTTTAGGAAGTCGTTCGCCTAACACGTGACTGAATACGGGCATTTGGGGTCCGAAACCCAAACTAAGGCAAGACGCGGGGTAGAACAAAGAAGGTCGGTAGGTAGAGTGCAACATTTTTCTTGACCCGTGATTATACACTTCCTATTAAAACTGCATCTCTATGTATCGGGTCACTTATTTTCCTCTGTTACCCAAATGACTGATTATTTCTCGCAAATTGCCTTGCTGGGACTTTTGGGTTTTTTGCATGGAACCGTGCCGTTTTGAAAAGAGTCTAGATCGTCGTTTCCCTGGACAGATAAATCATCCGACTGTTTTAATTCTCGAATCCAAATGGAGGCTCGAAGTTTCAACAGATTTTAATCTCATTGCTAGGAGACAGTATGTGACATACTTCTATGAAATACACGCCCTTTTCCTGAGGCCTGTATTCGTTCGGAGATTGATGAACGCGCTGCGCTGAACAGCCAAATCAGTCGAAAGTCGCCCTTTCTGATCAGCAGTTCTGTAGACCGCCCATGCAGAAGGCAATGTTTAGGGATTCACAAGCCTAATTATTTCCACAATGCAAGGAATTCCAACCAGATGGTCGGAACTAACCTGAATTTCTTAAGAATGATCTCCACTTCTGATGAGGTTCGATGTGGCTTCTGCCATTGGGACCATAATGGAAATGAAAGCCTCGGCTGTCTGCGTATTGCAGGGTCATGCGTTTCAATTTTTGCTTTTGGGCAGGTCAGTGAGGTCAACTTCAAAACAATATCAGTCCTAGCTGACGGCCCTACAGACGGTCAAGCTGAAAATTTCTTGGTGAGAGGCCAATTCTGTGACTGTAAAGTGCACAAATTTTACCGTCTTCACTAAAATTTTCTATCCTCTCCGTTTATTTTTTCAAATTTTGCAATGTTACCAGGCCTCAATTTGGAACCGCAACCCTCATTACCTTGTATTAGTTATCGAACAGTCACCCACCCTAATCAGACTTCTCAAACTGCTTGGATATTTTGCATACATTATCCTCATTACTGTTCCTCCATGTGTATGCAGAAATGCTCCCAGTGTCTACTTCCTATAAGCACCCCAGACAAGGTGCACAACTTTCCTGACGCACCTAACAGCCTGCAGTCTACAGAGCGGCTGTGTTGAGCTCTCCCTAGCATAACAGTAACCATCGTTCGTGTGGGCCAGGCGTATCAGCCCACGCTGTTTTCTCTAGGTTTTCTTGGGTATCTGAACAGTTCTAGAAGCCTTACCCGTCTATCGCTTCTATAGGTACCATCCCCATTCCCACCTCTTCTCCAGGTGTCGGTTACTAGTTTGCCTTTGGCTTTCTGATCATTCTGTCAGGGTGAGATGGGTCGGCAACGCGAGGTTTTCCAAACCAACGGACAGGGAAGAGAAAGTAAGCTAGGCAACGTTTATTGCGGCAAGGAAGCAAAAAAAAACTCAGTAAACGGTGGCAGCATGTGTTCTCTCTAGTCGAGTGTCAGCCGTTTTAGGCCTGGCGCGAAGTATGCGCAGGCGCCCGCAGGGGTTTGCCCGTCTGCAGTCACTTGGCGAAGGATTCAGCGTCGACTGGCGTCAGGGTGTCACCCCGCCGGGGCCAAGTCAAGCACGGCGCAGTAAGGGATTGACAGAGGATATTAGACTGGTTAAAACGGCATGAGTGAGCGGCCGCGATGGCGACCACGGAGGCAGACTACTACAGAACCCCCCGTCTAGACCGAAAGTGGTGTGTAGCAACACCAAAGGAATTGTTCGTGTCTGAATTACACGAGTTAGGTAACGGTCGTCTGAACGATCATGACGTTTACCGTTTGTGATATAGGAGGGAGGGAGAGGAAGAGAGACCTCAGCGTGCACTTTGGTGCGAGCGTTGGAGGAAGATGATAGAGTTGCAGTTGGGTACAACGGATACGGAGAAAAGGGGTCTGGGGAGGCGGCGGAACAGAGGGTAGGGAAAATGCAATGGCAGGGAGTAGATCCGCACAGTAGAATGTGCGGGATGACAACTTGGAGGCGGTCCACGCTCACAACCTCCTCGTAGGTTCGGCGCTGGGTACTGACCGTTATCATTCCTCCAAAGACAACCCGGAAGCCGCTGTTGTCGGGTGGTTCAAATGGCAAGTGAACTCAGCTCTTCGGATATCGGGAAGTTAGGCCATCCATTGAACGCTCAAGCACCTCCCACTGGACAACAAAATTTTTCTAAGGTTTTCGTGATAAGATCAGGCTCCCGTTGTTTCCTGATTAACTCTAATATGTTCCGATGCCAGAGGCATCGTTACAACGATCCCTGATGAAGGGGAGGGAGCCGTGAATATTCATAGGTATGTGGTAGCATGGCTACTGCATCCTATAAATACTGCAGCCGCGTGTGCATGAGCCACCCTTATCTGCTTATGTCTCTGATGAAGGATTCGAGCAGGAATCCGAAACGTCAAGCTAATAGAGCTCTTGTCCCGGCGATCGTGTCTTCTTCAGTAAATGTTTGTGTCAAAAACTAAATTCATATCCGTCTTGTCTGTCGAACTGCAGTTTGACTTGGAAGGTGGAATTTACGTCGTTCCAGTATAGTCCCGTGTGTTTCGGTACCGCCAAACTTTTCAACCCAATAAATTCTCATAATAATCCATTTTTAAAGTTTGGGTTAGGATAGGCATGGGGGATGCGCCAAAGAAGCTGGGTGTGTTGAGACTGCGGTCAATTCCACTCTCATGGATACGCATGCGGCCGAACAGGCCCATGGGATGAGTGAAGGTGGGGGGGAGGTGTGGACAGTGAAGGCGAATGCGGCTCCAGGCATTGGTTCGCCAGTCTCTGTGCGATGGATTCGCAAGGGGCCGGCCAGGCCGATGTTTGACGTGAAGGTGCGATCGCAATGAGGATACGTATCGACCGAGTCCACATCGCTAGTGTTCCCGGTATGGCGGTTGATGTTTGTTAGTGCGTCTGGATTGTGTGTATGGCTGGTAGGTACAGGAGTCGCTGCTTCAGGTGTTGAGCAGAAGAAGGGGGTGGTGGTGGTGGTGGAGGAGGAGGAGGAGGAGGAGGATGAAGATGGTAGTGGGAGTTCGGCAGTGCGGTCAGTGTTAGTTCTCGGCGTGCGGGACAAGGCAAAGTTTGACGGAAGGCCAGCGGCTAGTGTAATCCGGGTGTTGCAGTTGGCATGAAGATGTCCACAAGGTCGACTGGTGCCCAGAACGTCCGCTGGCTGTGTGGGTAGGTCGGGGACGTTTGGCGTTGGCTTTGCGGGTTGGGCGCATTTGAGATTTGCAAGGCTCGCATCTGGCTTTGGCGATAGTGATGCAGTTGGCTGCGTAGATCGTTGCGTCGGTTTTGACCGTCCTCCTCTAGGTCAGTCCGTTCCGGACAAGGTCTTTCCAGTTGGCCAGGTTGATCTGCAGACGCTTAAGGGAAGTTTTTAGAGTGTAGTGGACAGCCATAATGGCTACATCGTGCCTCTCGCTAGCGCCTGCACCTACGTCCCAGCGGCAGCCTGCTATGGCACGCACGTCTGCCTGGCTTCGATTTGTCTCGTTGCAATTCACTGGCTGCACCACGCATTCGGTCGATTCTCTGCCTGCACCACGCGAAGCTTGTCATTACCTTCGCGTGGACTCGGAGCCAATCAACGTAACTCCTATCGCTGATTGGTAAGACGGGCGGGAACAGTCCAGAACAATAGAGTAAACAATCTGCAACGACACTTTTGCAGCGACGACCTTCGGCGACACAGGGCTCGTCGCTCTCGCGGACACCTCCTCCGCGGCGCCGGACGCATCCTCGTCCGGTTGCCAACTTTCCCCTTCACTATTCTGTACAGAATAAAGTGTCCTAACCAAATGGCGTCCTGTTTCTAACAACTTGGGATATGGCCTGAAGTTGTGGCATACTGAGCGTACACCATCACCGCTTAGTCGTTACAAGAGTGTCCTTTTACCGCCAGACTTGATCTCCCTGTCGACGAGAACCCGTGGCGTCATCTCCGTAGAAGAATCGTTTAGATAGCCGATCGTCGTCCATCCGCACAAGGTGGCCGTTCCAACGCAGTTACAGCTGTCTCAGCATGACGTAGATGCTGAGGATGCCTGTCCGCTGCAGTACATCCGTGTCAGGGATCCGGTCCTGCCACCTTAACTTCAATATCTGACAGAGACAGCTGAGGTGGACGTGATTGACTCTCCGTGCCCACTTCTTATAGACTGTCCAAAACTTTGCTACATACAGCAGCGTCGGCAGGGTGACTGCCTGTACATCTTTATCTTAGTATTGAGGTGGAGACCGCGACGATTCCAGACGGTGTTCTGGGGACGGCCGAAGGCTTGAATGGCTTTGGAAATCCGGCAAGCCACTTCATTGTCGGTTTTGGTGTAACGGGAGAGCGTGCTGCCGAGGTAGGCGAAGTTGTCCACGATTTGTAATTGAGCGCTGTTCACGTTGATTTGGCTTGCGACGTAGGCAGCGTCGGGTGATGTCTTCTCCGTGTTGATGACCAGGCCGAAGTTGCCGCAGACGGCGGTGAAGAGATCCATGCTCCTTTTCATTTGCCCTTCCGAGGTGGTGTTGAGGATGCAGTCGTCGGCGAAGAGGAGTTCATGAACGGCAGTCGTGGGTGCACGCGACTGGAAGTGCATCCGACAGTGGTTTAAGAGGTAGTCGTCCAGTACGCGATGCGGACCCCAGGGCGTTCGTCACGGTATGCGTCCATCAGCATGGCAGAAAACATAAGACTGAAGAGGGTAGGCACGAGGACGCAGCACTGCTCCGCTCCGTTGGTCACTACGAATGCCTCTGAGGCAGTTCCACTGTCCGTGACTCGCGCCGTTATGCCATTGTAGAGCTGACACACTATTTAAGTGAATCGTTCGGCGCAGCCGAATTTCTGTATGATCTTCATAGTCCTTTACGATTTGCCTATCGAAAGCTCTTGTCAGATCCACCAAGGTAGAGTAGAGGTGGGTCCGCATCTCCTGACACTCCTCCTGCAGTAACCGGGCGGCGAAGATCATGCCCGTGGTCCCACTGTGACAACGGAAACCGCACTGGCTTTCCGGCAGGAGACTTTGTTATAGGTGGTTGTTCGGACAGTTGAGGAAGATGCGAGCGAAGATTTTCCCGGCGATGTTCAGAAGGGAGACTCCTCGGTGGTTGTCGCAGATTTTTCGGTCCCATCTGCGTTTGTAGAAGTGGACGATTAGGGCAAGATTTAAGTCCTGCGGGACCCCTCCTTGATGCCACATTTCCTGAAAGCGTGCCATCAGGTGATCCACGAATTGGAGGAAGACTGTGCTCGTTGATCTCAGCAGGGGTCGCGTCCGATCTGGGCGCTTTCCCGTGGAGAGTTGCTGCACGGTTTGATGGTTTCGTGGATAGATGACGGAAGGTTGAGATCGGCGTTGGTCTCCACTTGAGGCAGACGGTTGATGGCGGCGTCGCAGATGGTGGAGGAGGATGGTGGAGGTGGGTCTCCTCGTCCTTGCGATCCGTCTAAGCGTCCTGCATTTCGTGAAACTGCTGTTGCGCAAGGCTGCGGCTACGGCAGAAGGCTGCTTTGATGTCGTCGGTTGGGCGGTCGACGTAAGCTTTGTGTAGGCGGTTCTTCTTGACGAGCAGGTTGTTGATGGCGGAGTCGTTGTCGTCGAACCAGTCCTGGCGTTTGCGAAGTGCGTGACCGAGGACGGTCAGGGCTGTCGACTGGACTGTTTGCTGTAGTTGACACCATCGGTTCTCCGCTGAGGCGTTCTCGTCAGCGGCGGCAGCGACTGGAAGGTTGCTCAGCCGTTGAGCTAGCTCGTTGCTGAAATGAAGATCGTGAGCAGGCAAAGACGACAAAACAATATTCAGCTTACCCGGGGGCGCTTACCTTGAGATCTTCTGCAAGGCCGTAGGAAAATCCGCATCTCGGGATGATGAGGCGATGTTCGGTGCCCCCGCCAGCACCCGGGATCGCCTTTGTCACCAGCACGTCCCCCTTGTTCTCGCCTCTGGACGAGGACATAGTCCAGAATGCGTAAGTGTCGCGACCGAGGGTGGCGGAAGTATATGCTAGTCAGAATGAGCCAGTGTTTTACGCAGGTTCGAAGAAGGAGAGGGTCATTGCCATTGGGGCTGTCGGGCCCACGGGGACCCAGCACTCCTCTGTAGACAGCATGATCTGTTGATAAGAATTAAAAGCGACCCATTCCTCCAAGCAAGGTCAATTGGGGGAGGTGGGTGCCGACTACACCTTCTGGAGCGGCCACTCCAGGTCGGAGCGACGGGACATGGGCGTCGCCTTTGTCGTCCGGAACGACATCGTGGGACGACTGCTGTGTCTGCCGCAGGGCACCAACGATCGCCTGATGAACCTCCGCTGGCCTCTCCAGGGAAGTAAATTCGCCACCATCGTCAGCGTCTGCGCTCCGCCGATGACCAACCCTGATGCTGCAAGGAACAAATTCTACGAGGACCTGCACGCCTTCATGGCGTGTGTGCCGAAGTCGAATGAGTTAATTGTCTTCGGTGACTTCAACGCCCGCGTCGACACAGATCATGCTGCCGATACAAACGACGATGTGAGTTACAGGAACTAGTTGATAAGAAGTAGAAGCGATCGCTGGAACAAGGGCTTTAATTGCCTGACGTTTCGGATTATCACTGGAACCCATCGTCAGGGACAATGACTGAAAAGGATGATTCGTGCACACTGTAAAAACCATTACGTTAACAAACATGTTACGGAGAGAGTTTAGTAAAACGTGTATTTAACATTAATATTGTATGTGCCGTTTTCAATAGGGTCATCAAAGGCACTGCCAATTACCCTAAAATATACTACTAAATATATTATGGAAATCATAGTCTCTAACTGTTGACTCAGAAGCAATGAAGTCGGATCATTACGTGTGGATGATTTCGAACTGCACGAATTGTTGTATCTGATTGCTCGTCATATGGAATTCTTCACGTCCTCCTCGCAAAAACTTTCAATTTTAGTCCTCGTTGGCATTCTCCTTTTCTCTTTTTCAGCCCCCTCTCGGCCTTGGCTCGTGTTCTTTTAATTAACTTATTTTATGTTTTGACCTTGACCTGGAAATTCGATTTGCCCGAACGGTGGCAAAGGAATTCTGTGGCTAGGGTATCCATTGTCGAGGTTCGTATGTTTTTTCGTTATTGTCCTGTTCTATCGATAGTACCGTATATACATCGAAATCTTTTTCTTTGGCCTACACGCGTCGCGCAAACTAGCAAAGAATTCAACAGTCCTCAACACCATGCCATACATTAAACGGAATTGGTTTTATCAAATGCAGACGCGTTCAATGAGGAATGAATCCTAAGTTACGGAACAGGCGTTCGTATTAGATGAAACAGAGGCCTTCAAAGGACAAGGAGAGCTCAATGGGGATGCTTAATCCAGCTCTTATAAAGCCGTTCCCATTATCAGTCGTAGTTTTAGTGAAACAGTAAAAGCCTTAAGAAAAGGAGAAATTGAAGAAAGGCAGGTTATGCGTGAGGCCGAACTTCAACGGACTCTTTTTGATGCTAAGAGGCGAACAGAGCTTGCTAAGATAGAGGTAGAGACCGACGAATAAATGACTAATGACGGCTGCCAGCACGTTGATTCAGTCGCACATATCTCGGATACTTGAAGCAATGCGCACTGAATGAAAATGGTCCTGGTTAGGGTGATCATTGCCAATGCGAGAATGTCGATATGCCCAAATCAAGTGCTAGGAGTCTGGCAGTCGCCAGTTTAGAATTACCCAAGGTCGAATTGTCCTGTTTTGACGGTAACCCGATGCATTACTTGACATTTATACGCCAGTTCGAAGTGTACGTGGAGAGCAAAGTTGAAAATGCTGGACAGATGCTCCTGTACTTGATTCACTATTGCGGAGGGGATGCTAGGGCAGCAATAGAAGAGTGCGTCATGCCGCCCTCACCGTTGGCTTATTCAAGAGCACGGGAAATATTGAGCAGCCTATTTGGACAGTTACGTGTAGTGGTTCGTTCTCTTCTGGGTGGTGTATTTAGACAGACACACTGAGTTAACCAGACAGCAACGGCATTTTCAGATCTGTGTATAAAAATGAAAATTGTGAAATAGCGCTCACGCAAATGAAGTACGTGTCCGACCTACAGTCGCTGAATACCCTGAGGCGGATAGTGCGCTGTTTACCTTCTGTATGCAAAGCCAGTGGGCCCAAGTGGCCGACAGAATATCTTTAAATGGTAGAGACCCAGATTTCGCAGACCTCACGGAATTCGTAAATACCAAGATTAGGATAGCGAGAAATCGTTTCAGATAAATATCTCGAGATGGGAATGTTAAGCGCAGTCAACAACCTTTTATTGCCACTACTTAAATACAAAAACGGGAGGACTCTGACAATTTTACCATTTTGAGTGTCGAACCAGATCGAGAGCCACGCTACATATGTTCTCGAGTAAACAAAGTGGCGAATTGTCCACATATACCTTCGATGGACATTGCAGATCGGTAAGATTGTATGCAGGAACACAAAACGTGTCTTGTTTGCCTTGGTAATAAGCACTTTGTCAAGGTGTGCGGCTTCAGAGGACGTTGGGCCAATCCCGGGTGCACAAAGCGCCATCAAACGCTTTTGCATGTACTGTCATCGGAGAACGATCAACGGACATTGCAAGATGAAGGACTTTTTGCCCTGACTGGAGTTGCGTATCTACCATTACGGCTGGGAGTCATTCCCGTCAAGTTGGCGACTCCCACTGGAAACATCGAGACTCACGCATTTTTGGATAGTGACTCGGATGTCACACTGACTACACGAGAGCTTCAGGTCAACAATGGAGCGCTTACAACGCCAGAGACATTGACAATAAGCACCTTATGTGACTCAATCGAATGCAACTCGGAAGTCAGATATCTAAGATTTCTGCCAATGAATGGAACTGGGTCAGTCGAGATTGAAAGGGATATAGTGGTTAGAGACTTGCCACTCTGAGCAGAACCGTCAATTAAAAGGATAGCATCTTCAGGACCACACCTAAACGATAATATGTTCGATGATCTCACTGATTGCGAGGTTGAAATACTCACTGGGAATGATACTGCGGAAGCTCATTGGGTAATTGAGCAACGTCTGGGTGGAAAAAAGGAACCGTTCGTCGTGAAACCATTATTGGGTTGGATGCTGCTTGGACCTTAACGTGACAGACTTAGAGGGAACGCTGCCTGGCACCGTACTGTAAATCGAGAAAAGGATGTGACACATAACATTAAGAGGCTGTACGACTCGGAGTCTCAGGCACTTAAGCAATGACTGCTAGTCACTCATTGGATGATAAACGGGCACTGGCTATTGCGCAATCCTCCGTTACACTCATAAAAAATGCAATACCAGCTGCCACACCCTTGGCGAAACGTTGCGCTGAATTTGCCTTTTAATCTCCAGTTGGCGCGTAAAATACTAACCTATCTCAAAAGTAAGTTGAGTCGAGAACCCGGATTACTTCGGAAATACGAGCAAGCATTGCGTTCGTGCATGAAGAAGGGATACATCGGGCGACTTGTCGGCAACAAAACGTTTCATGTTCCGAGACACTGGCACTTACCTCACCACCCCGTCATCAACGCCCGGAAACCAGGAAAAAATCCGTGTTGCATTTGACTGTGCTGCCAAGTGCCAGGGCGTGTCTCCGAATGATGATCTGTACCCAGCACCCGGCCTAAACGCCAAGTTAGTAAGTGCATTGTCGGGTTTCCGACTTGAGCGAATGACCATGGCTGGGTATATAGAGGGAATGTTCCTACAAGTGAAGGCGGACCCGAGGGATCAACCTGCTCTGAAATTTTTATGGTGGGAAAGTGACGAGCTTGAAGGGGAGTCAGCTAAGTTTCAGTGGACATCTTAACCATTCGGATTGACTTCTTCACCCTTAAGACCACCTTTGCGTTACAAAAAACCTTTGAAGATTTCGGTTCATCCTACTCTTCATAAACTCGCAGAAAGTATATACGTTGATGATTGTCTGGTCTTGTCATGTGATGACGATTCCGCCAAACGTTTTGTGGACAAAATTTGTAAACTCCTCTCTCAAGGTGGTTTTTGTATGCGGAACTTGGTGTCTACTGACTACCGTGTACTCTCAGTCGTCAATGCGACCGAACGTTCTTCTGGTATGCGAGATATTGCCGTCAATCCCTTACCTACTGAACGGACTTTGGGGTTGCAGTGGGATACGCATTCCGATATCCTGATGATAGGTTTCAATATACCCGCAAAACCATCCATTCATAGGGGTATTTTGTCTTGTTTATCCTCACTTTATGACCCTCTGGGCTTCGTTTCGCCCCGGCTGATACCGGGGAAGTGTTTACTGCAATCCTTATACAAAACTGACTGAATTGGGATGAACAACTATCTGGCATCAAGAGCTCTCGTTGGGAAAACTGGATCTCCAATTTACGGAGTCTGATGACCTTTCAGCAGGGCCGATGTCTAAAACCCAAAGGTATCAGCGATCCTAGGCGAGTCGAAATTCACATATTTTGTGACGCGTCGCAAGTAATATATAGTGTATTAGCATATGCTCGTCCAATTAACGACACAGGAAATCTACATTGTTCATTCGTTTATTCGAAAGCCCGTGTGGCACCCCTCAACGCCGTCTCTATATCACGTTTAGAGTTGGCAGTTGTAACTCTGGCTGTGCGAATGGCTGATCTCATCCGGTCAAGCACCGATAGGTACTTCCAAACAATAAATTTCTGGACCGATTTTATGATAGTCCTTTATTATATACACAATGAATCAACGACGTTCTGCACATTTGTGGCCAACCGACTGACAGTTATACATGATCTGTCTGTGACCTCTCAGTGGATATACGTGAGTTCGGACGTCAACCCAGCGAACATTGTTTCTCGAGGCACGTGCAGTTTTTGCGCTTGCATGCAGATGGCTGGACGGTCCGCAATTTTAGTTCAACCTGAAAGCAAATGGCTTGTACAACCTCCAGTAAGACAACCTGAAGACTTGGAATTCAAGAGAACAACAGCTCAAGTTCATAAATTAAGTTAATGTCATGGTCTAGACAACTTAGTTATGCGTTTTTCAAGTTGGACAAGGCTACGAAGGATTGTGGTCTGGCTCCTGCGTTTCAAGCAGTACGTCAGAGTCACCACTGGCATGGCACCTCAGGATACGCTGATGCTGAGTCCTATCCGAAAATCCGAAATGCGTCAGGCTAGCATTAGCTTAATACAGCTTATACAAAGGGAGCACTTTCAAGAAGAATCGAGTATTCTGCAGTCCATACCAGCGGATCGCCAGAAAAGAAAGTCTGTGCTAAATATCAACTTGAGAAACTTATGTACAGTTTTGAGTGAAGGAGTAATGTGTGTTGGCGGTCGCCTGAACTATTAGAATTCTTGTGAATCTTTAAGGCGCCCGTCAATCCATCTCTACTATCACCCCGTGACGGAATTATTCATCGACTATTTTCATGAACTGGAAGGCCACTGTAGGACAGCCCAAGTTCTAGGTGCAATCCGTCAAAAATCTTGGATCCCAAAAGGCATCACTTCTGTCAAACGTGTCAGTGGTAG